GGGGGTTGTGCCTGGTCGGTTTTCGCTGACAGAGGGAAAAAAAGCTTGCTTTTGTGTGCAGCCGGTCCTTCGTGAGCTACCCGTGACGTGTGTCAGGCAGCCAAGGGGCAGGGGGAAGTGCCACGTCCCGTGCGGCAGCTGCATGCGGGCAGGTCGGCTCCGGTCTCCCGTAGGTGCGCTCCTTCCCTCGGGTTTGGGGCTGTGGGTGCAGCCGCTGCCCCACAGAGACTGTGGGGCACAGAGACTGGTGCCAGCGGAGGGGGAGCCCTCCCCGTAGCCTCTCCCACGCTGGGAACAGCGGCTCACACCAACACCACGCTGCTGTTCTCACGAGCATCCCAGCAGTGGATGTCGCCAGGGCTCTGCCATGTGCTGCGCCCAGATTGGAAAGAGGGTCAGAGAGGCCTCACAGGATGACCACAGCAGCCTTATTTCTGCAGGACATCTCAGCGCGAGTAGGAAGCTGTGCTCTGCGCAGAAGTGATCCATTTAGATCTGTTTCGCCTGCGTTATTACCGGCTGGCTGCTTGTCAATGCCAAAATACGCTTCCAGGTGGTGTGCCAGACGTGCAGGCAGGCAGAGCAGTCTGGGGTCTGTCAGGTGTGTCTCGGTTTATCGCTTTGCTTTCCTCCAGGTATGAAATGATGTATGAGCAGTGAATGTAAAGCCATATAACTTACAACCTCTTGGGCCCCAATTTTGCAGTGCCTTGTAAATGTGTGTAATTTTAAGTACTATCAGTACTTCCATTGACCTCAGTGGGACTACTTATGGTGCTCTCAGTTAAACACCGGTACGCTTTTCAGGATAAGAGCCAAAGATGACTCATACAAGTGTACGCATCACGGATTTTTATCTTTCCACTGCTATTTGTTGTTACAACTTATGGTTTAATAAAGGTTAAATATGTTGAGCTCAACTTCAGGTTGAATTGTAAAATAGCCAGTTTCTGTTCTGCACATTCCATCTTGCTTGGGTGTAATGCTTTCTCGAAGAGTTGTGATGTTGGCACTGTTTACGCTTTATCCTTTTTGGATCCTTTATCAGCTCCAGCAGCTGTTTTGCATAAGTGTGATGGGTGAAGAATGTGGATTTCACAAATCATTTTATTTTTCCCAGCACTCGGCAGTGAGAGATCATTGGCTGCTTAGCCATAATGGCTTTTCCAGAAGCGAAATGTGACAAACAATTTCTAATAAATCAGACCTTGGGGAGTTTAATAGTAAAATTCAATGACCCATCACCAATGTTTTATACATTATGCAAGCTCAGTGCAAATACAGTTGAGAGCATGTGCAATTACTGAAGATACTTAACTTATTTTTATGAGGGACGATGTTACTGAGTATGTCTTGTGTTAAATAATTGACTGAGGTTCCTAATGTCATTTTAGGAGCGTCACAGACACTTGGAAATCTAACAATTTTAAATTAATAATTTAAAGTGACAATAACACAAGCAAAGTACAAGAGGTATTGGAATTACTTGCTAATAAATCTGCAACATTACTAGTTGGGAGGTTATTTTGGAAGACTGGAAGTTATTCTGTGCGCTTGATTCGATGCTGAGGTGGAGGGTTTGTCTCCACGGCAGAGCCATCAGCAGTTTTAACTGCATCAGGTGCTGTGAGGTCGCGTCCTGCTGCATGCAAAAGCCAGGTGCAGTGGCATTTTTAACTGAAGGCAGCTGGGCTGAGGAGCGATACATGTTGAAGGTCTGCAACCACAGCACCTCACTGGCTAAAGCAAGCCATGACAGACAATCCAAATGTCAGTGGTCCACAAGCTGCTAACGGACTGCAGCCTGCCTTTAAGAAATCTGCAGAAGATTACCACGTTGTCGGCAGCCATCTGAAGGCTCTAAAACCCTCAGAAAATACTAGGGAGCTAAAAAAGGAGGGCTAAACCCAGTCCTTCAAACAGAAGATTAGTTGCTGATCAGCTAATCATTGTTGGGGTTGTTTAGGACCTGTGCAGTTGCCGTGGCTGGGATGCTCTTCTCCAGAGGTAGCAGGACTTGCCCTGAAGTGTAACTGTTGGAAAACAGGAATGAAAGAGGCCTTGGTACTTCTTTATCTGTTTAGCTGTGGGAAGTTGTTTCTTCAGCACAACTGTATAATTGAGTTCTCAGTGCTGGTCTCGTCTTACATAAATGCATGAGAGGCAGGATAGAAAAAAGAGTGGGGCCAATTAAAAGGAAAAAGAGGGCAGGTGAAGGGATTGCTGTTTACAGGGAAGAGGGTAAAGGGCCTGTTTTCCAGTTTCTCTTGCAGGATTCATTGGAATAGGTGGTTAGTCAAGCTTGAAGGAGACCTGGACACAGCTGTCTTCTTGGCCTTCTTTGTTAAACTGATTTTGGCAATAGCAGCAACAGAAATGGGTCAGATACTCATTTCTCATCAGATGTCAAGTCTGGAATCTGGTTTGATCTCTGACAAATTGTCTTTAACTGAACAAATGTCTAGTCTGGGTAGTGTGAGCTCAGCAAGTTTTCCCATTCTTGAATATGCTTAATTTTTCTCTGCTGAAAAGACAATTGGTACAAATCACCTGTATTTATTTATAGTAAGTTATTTTTCATCAATTTTAAGATTTCTGTCTGCTTTAGGCAGTGTTAACTGCTGGTTCTGGAAGGATGAGAAGTGTCTATTTATTAAGCAAATGTATTCGTTTGTATTGTGTTATTTATGAAATTCAACTTACTAGCATTTGTTACTGGTAGAAGGCAAGATGATAAATTTGAAGTCACACAGTCAGTGGGATGGAGTGAGATATTCTTTAAGATAACATTTTGCCTTGTGGCCTCAGTACTTTGTAAATTGTTTTTTAGGGCTCCGAGGCAGTCCAGATTGAGTCACAACTTCAGGGAATGCATACTGGATTAGAAATTTTCTTGAATCAGACTTCCAGGAAAATTGATTACAGATTGTCTCTTATCGGTGTCATCTCATTTTGGTACAAGTTGGTTTTATTCTGGCTTTTAAGAAAGGAAAGTCCTTGTGTGCAAAGAACATAAAAGTAAAGGCTGTATCCTAATGTCTTGAAATATCTTTTGTGTGCATTAATTTGCAGAGTGTGGATTCTGTCCCTGGACAAAACTGTTTTTCAGCTTGCTGGGAAATACGGGGCAGCATTTGTGTAGAGATGATAAACAAGATGTGACATGTGACTGAGATGTAGCAGCACCAAGTAAAATATTTTCAACAGGAGCTTATTGTAAAACAAACAAGAAAACAAGTGGCAGACTTAGAAAACATAGCAGCAGCAGCGAGAGAGTTTGCACAAAAGGAAGTATGTTTAGACATCAGTGTCCTGCTATTCAGGAAGAGACTTCCTCTCTGGCTGTAGATAACTGCCAGGAGAGTGTTCCTCACACAAGACATAAGCAGATTGGGTAGTGTTTAGACATCTAACACCGGTTGTGCCTTTAAAATCACGTAAGCAGATGTATAAATGCTAAAAATCACATGTGTCTGTGCTTTGGGTTTTATCTAGATGATAAATGAAAGACTGGCTCTAGAAAACCAGGGCTTAAAAGCACGTTGGGAAGAGAAGCAGAAATTATATCCTCTTTCTTGCTTTTCTTCCTCTATTACAAAAGCACTTTATCTCTGTTAACAAATGCAGAATCCACATTCTGACCCTGAAGATAGTTACGCATTTTGAGTAGTCTGAACAATTTGTTCTTGTTTTAAAACCTTTTTCCCCGTAATGATTATTGTTCCTGAGATTATTTATTTGGCTGGGAAGATGAACATCTAGAGGACTGAAGGTTGTGCTAATGCCTTCTTACCCTCGTTTCATTACTGTGTTCTGAGCAAAGCTCTGATTTGGAACCTCTTGTCTGACAGTTTATATTATGCTAATCGAAATCTGTTTACTGGAAATGAAATTTGAATATGCCATAAGCTTGCTGTCATTAATAAACTTAATTCTTTTTTTTTTTTTTCAGTTGGATTTCCAGTTTCCAGTTCTAATATTGATGGTCTTGAAAGTGCATTTGGATCCAAGACATTTTCTATCACTGAACAAATCAAGGGCCTTCTCTCCTCTGTCAGAGCAATATCATATGACCTCATTTCTCCAAATTAAATGAAAAAAGAATTCTCTCTAGCTTTCCATGAAGCTCAGCTATTGCCTGTTAATTTTGACTGTTAGTGCTGATCTTTCAATTGGATTTACACTGGAAAATGTAGCTTTTAACAGGACAGTTGCTTTTGGGTCTTTCAATGCATCGCTTCATAGTGTGTCTCAAGCTTTAGTAAGTTCTCCAGCACACCATGATATCATAGCCAAAGAGGGGACCAGTATTTTAATTGAATGTAAACTGAACATCACCCAGTATGAATATATTCTTTGGTATAACTCCAGAGGACGCCTGCTTGAACAGAAAGATAAAGGTGAGCTTCCCTGCTGTTTTCTACCTTTCAATATTCCCCTTTTCTACAGCATCTGAAAGCCTCTGGAACTTTATTACCATTTTCTCTTCCTACCCTCCAGTTTTTAATGGGAGTTGGTAGATGAGGAAAGAGCAAGGCAAAGCCCTTTGCCCTCTGGCAATTGGCATGTGGATTCTACCTGAGTTGTTCTGTCCTGGCCCGTCCATCCTGCTGTGGTTCCCTGCAGAATCATTTCCTTCCAGAGGCATGGCAGTGTTCAGTGCAGAAGACATGAACCTGCCTCCAACCAGATACTAACTGCTGGTTTTATTTAGTATTGCTCTGCTTCATATTATATTTTTCCAAACACATGAATTAAACACAATTCTCCATGACTTGTGACCTTTTCCAGCTGGCAATCAGTGCTTTAATTTTGTTACAGGATTTTTCTAAAGCATCGGGTAACTTATTACATTTCTATTCTGTTTTATGCCCCGGTGAGACTGTGGAAAGTAACACAGTTTGTAACGGCCGATGACAAAATGCAGGCTGTTTAACCCTTTGGTACAGAGAGAGTATATTTTCCTATCCGTTGGTTTTTATAGCTCTGTCCCTGTAGTTTTCAATTTTCACAAAATAATGTCTTTTAGAGATGCATGTGGTTTTCTGTACTCTATTAGTATTAATGAAGGTCATCGAGCTAATTGATAGGATTTTCTCAGAGGCTGTCTTTCTGCCTTAAGTATTCAGTAACCTCTTTGTAGTCATAATGCCATCTGGAGATTAGTTGAAAGTCGAGTAATTAGAGGAATGAGTTATGAAAACAATTTTCCCCCTAAGTTATAAACGCATAGGAAATGCTGTATAAAGCTAGCTTCTTTTATTGATTTCTTTGTACGTGGGGTCTGTGCATCAGCACTGCATGCTCAGCAGAAATCCCACGTAGAGAAATGCGGGGTTCTTTTGCCAGCAGAGCCATTTACAGACTCGGATCTTTTTCACAGGTCACTTGACTTTTGACTCCGAACGTATGGAAAATTAGACTTTATAGAGGAGAGGCTTTCAAGATGGTGTTCCACGGTGGGTGAGAAGCACTAGTTAAGAATTAGGTTCCCTGCCAGAAAGAGCAGTCCAAAGTACACAAGAAAGGGCAGATGAAAGAAAGGAGAAAAACCAGAGTAGCAAGCATGCAGAATGATTTTCCATTACGCAGTAGGGTCGGGAACTGGGTTATGGCTTTCCGTATTACATGGATGAAAAGGAAATTTAAGTCCTTGGTGCCCTGTTTTACTATGCTAGAACTGGACTGCTCACTTCCAAGCTCTCCCTCCTGTTGATGGAGCAAACAGCACGTGTGTAGTGTCCTTCGTGATTTTTGGTTCATTAGCTGAGTTTCTTTCTTTTGAATCTCCAGGTGGCCGGTGGAGGATTGCTGATAATTCCCTTAACATCACGAGGGTCAGCTTTGCAGACCGCGGACGATACACCTGTGCAGCTGTTAACCATAATGACACCTTGTACTACACAGTCACCCTGAGGGTTATCTTCACCTCAGGAGACATGAGTATCTACTACATGATTGTGTGCCTCGTTGCCTTTGCCATCACCCTCATTTTAAACATAACACGTCTGTGCATGATGAGCAGTCACCTCCGCAAAACAGAGAAGGCTATCAATGAGTTCTTCCGGACGGAGGGGGCTGAGAAGCTTCAGAAGGCTTTTGAGATAGCCAAGCGCATCCCTATCATTACGTCTGCCAAAACACTAGAGCTGGCCAAAGTCACGCAGTTTAAGACCATGGAGTTTGCTCGGTACATCGAAGAGCTTGCCAGAAGCATTCCCCTTCCACCTCTGATCCTGAACTGCAGGGCGTTCATGGAGGAGATCTTTGAGGCTGTGCGAGTTGACGATCCCGATGAAGTTGGTGAGGAGGAAAAACAGACCCAGGCCTGCGGCGCCCAAGCTGCCATATACCCTGTCAACCCAGAGATGAAGCGCAGCGATTCGCCGGCCGGGGATTCGGATGACGGGTCCATGAATGAGCAAGGCCAGGAGATAGCCGTTCAGGTGTCCGTTCACCCGCAGTCAGAGGTGCAGAGCATTGACACCGTTTCTCACGACAGCTGCCAGTTTGTGCCTTCCGAGGAGGGCGCCTGCTGAGTCCAGCGATCCACTGCTGTGAAGGAGGCGCGGGTGACCCGCGAGAAGGGGTCTGCGAACAAGCTGCCTCAGTCCCGTATGCACAAGAGTTTTCCAAATCGCAAAGTGCCAGAACTGCTACTGGAATCTGTATTTTCTGTCAGTGTTGATCTATCAATTTTAAGTCTGTTTGAGAAGGCTGTTTGGAATATTGTGCAGTGGTTTTCTTTTTAAAGGAGGCTTGCTATACTGAAAATATTTACAAACCAGGAATTCTTTGTCCTTGGCTCCTTGGTAGCTTCTGATATGTCTGATCTCTATTAGAGGTGGCCAAGCTGAGCAGTACAACTTGCAATAAGATCTCTCCCTTTGTGAATTCTTTCTTCCTTCACAAAGCGGAGCCGGAATTCCTATGAGTCCATGTTGTTGTCCTGATGAATTGAGTTGTGTGCTCTTTTGGAACTGCCTCTTGGTGTGTGTGGCCCATCTAAACCATGGTGAGCGTGAACAGATCTGTCGTGTGCTGTGTGCTTCTGTGTTGCTCTCAAAATGTACTGTACTTAGGAAAAGGATAGCGCCAGCATCTGCTGCTGGATTGAAGGAATTGTTGTAGTTTCAAAGCAGCTTAGAGAACAAGCAGGGGGTCTCAGTTTTCTATGCATCCGCAGAAAACTTGCACGGACTCCAGCGTGTGGAGGGCGAAGTGTTGTTACAAACCTTGTCGCTTCAACGTGGTGCTGATTGCCAAAGCGCCTTACCCTGGGTCTCTCCTACAGAATGGAGCAGGAACGGCACTGCCTTGCCTTTGACTTTGCTGTTTCCCTCACTATAGAAAACCCCAAGTTTTATATTGTATTTGACCTGTTGTGAGAGAAGGATGGCAGTGATCACGTAGTGGCGTAATTTGAAATGAATTCATCTAGAGAGCAGGTGTGTTGGACACTTCCTTCTGAACAGCATTACCATAGCGGAGAAAAGCGGTGACGCTGGCTTTGCTCTGGCTGGGGCTTTCAGAAAGATGGGAAGGAAGAGTGGTTTGGGGAGGGGCTGGCCGAGCTGTACACTCTTCCCAGCAGCGGAGTGGTTCACTGGCCATGCCCCGTCTCATCTGCTGGCAGGGGGGTGGCAGATGGGGGCGGTGCAGGTACTTCACTGAGGATCTCCCACGTGGCTTCCTCAGCTGTACACATCCAGCCACGAGGAATAAGCGCAGGCGGGGATCTCGTTTCTTCTTTCACTCTTTGGTGCTGATTTTTTTTTTCTCCTTAACATTTGTAAGTTGTATCACTTAAATAGCATTTTATATCCTGTTGAGATTTAGTAGATGTAAGGCTTGTAAGCACTCCACAAATTAATTTCTTACAACTACTGGAAGCATATTGCTATATAATTTCAACAACTTGGCAACAGGAGCACCATTTAATTTCCCACAACTCTTTTTTCTTTCCTTATTATTATAGAAATGTCAGTTGAACAAGTGATTCTGGCCGGCTGCTCAGGATTCTTGAGAGGATTTGACATTACATTTACATGAGTGGAAATGGGAAACAAGCAGGCACAGCGGGAGTAACGGGGTGGGGCCGTCTGTTGTGAGGCACACTCGTAGCGAAGTGTCTGAACAAATGATATTTATCCTATCACAGCAGAGAATGGGAAAGCAAAGCATTTATTACCGTTTTAAACTCCGTGCTGGGCAAGGTTCTGCAGTCAGGCACCACAAGTGCAGCCTGGTGGGCTTGGTGTCTCGGGTGGGAGTGGGGTTTGGGCCAGCCTTGGTTATGGTCGTGTTCCCACCAGCTTGGTACCGTTTCCAAGGCTGTAGCAAAGTTTATCTGCTTCAGGAGAATAAAGCCTTCTGTAGACACTTGGCGTAGCTACTGCCCTCAACAGCAACTTCTTTTTTGCTTCCATAGCTTGATGGCACTTTATGTCCAGGTGAAAAGTTTGTATAGTTTTGTGTAACCTGTTCTTGAAGTTTTTGAGGTGGTCAGTGTTTAAAAGATACTCTTGTGGATAAACGCCTGTTTCTCTTAGAAGCCCTGCTAAGATGCTGCTGGCCTCACTTCTGTCCTGCAGCGAGCTCCGCGGGTTTGTTGCACATGCGTGAGTGGAGGTTTGGGGGTTTGCACCTTTTTGGATGTCCTAGTTGAAAGAGGTGAAGGCTCCAAGAGAGAATGATCGGGTTTAATCTCCTTTGTGCCACAGGCCATCAGGATTGTACCTGCATCTGCCTTTTTTTTCCCCCCACATCTCTCCTTGCTGTGTTGCATTACATGCAGCAGCAGCAGCTTGGACACTGTCCCCAGCTGCCTACGCAGCGTAGAGATGCAGCTACAGAATCAAAGCTCCATGTAATTGCTTCCTGAGGAGCAGTTCTGCAGCCGTGACTGACGGATGTCTCATCAGAAGTGGCAGCTTACAGGCAGCAGAATGTCACGAGAGGTGTGTCAGATGGGTGTCAGGAGAGCAGTCTCTGGATTAATTCCAGCTGTTCGTTCATGCTATACTTTATTTACATAGCTCCCAGTTCTTACTAAGCGCGGTTCCTTGGTGTCATCGCATGTCCTGGTGGAGAGGGAAGAATCATCATGCATAAAGGTCCTCAGCAAGGCAGTTGCAGTGTCTGTTGCTGGAGAGTTTTCCTGAATGATTACAGTATTTTGTTCACTAAATTAATTTCATTCCTGGAAAGGAGGCTGTTTTGTAAGGATTTCACTAAATCAGGAGTACTTATTAAATGTAGGAACTGCTCCTACTCCCACTGAATTCAATTAGAGCAGATCTGAAGCTCTACAGTGTATTTTGCAAACAATATTACCGGATTTTCATGCATCTGAAAGGAAGGATCATGGTGATGTTATGCAGCAACTGTAATTTCCAGAGGGTGAAACCTGACACTGGTTTCCAACAACTTGTGAACTCTTCCTGTGAGTAGATGGGTGCACTTAAACTTGTTTGATGCATCTGATGGAACACGAGCGCTGAAAGATTATGCGGACGTCGGTGTTTCTTGGCTGCTTGTAGGACAGGGAGAGTCTGCAGTGGTTTCCTTGCTTTAAATCCTGTGACAATCACAAGGCTATTTTCTCTTTCCTTTGTGACTTATTTTGAACCATGTAAAATCTACTTGTTATCCAAGAGTACCTAAAACTAACTTTGTAGTGGGTATTTGTATTACCTGGATTGTCATGTAACTGTTTCATGTAACCGCGTAGGATTTCATACTTTCATAAAACCAATTGGTAGGTTTGCAAAATAAATTAAAAACAAAAGCCTCGTTTTGTTTAGGAGTTTTTTTTTACCAGGAAGGGCTGGTGAGCAGCTCTGTCAGGTTAAACAGCAGCTGTGTCCAACTCGGCCAGCCTGGCAGGGCTTGCTGGGGCATCCAGTCGCCTGGTAGACCCTTTCTGCCGTGACAGCTTTGGGTCTGTCTGGTTTTTTTTAATGTCTCAAAGTCCCCAGCAGCATCTGTAATAACTGTTACCAGCTGCACAAAAAAGGGTTTCAGGAAGGCCCATGTGTTCTCCTTGATGTCAGTTTTGCAAGCTGAAAGGGCGATGGTGAAGCGCAGTGACCTTCAGCCACAAACCTGTGTTTTCTGCTCTTAATTTTCACAGGAGTGTACTGTGCGATACCGTTACCACCTCTTTTTTTTAAATCCTCCTCAAAACCCAGCATATTTGGACACAACCTATTGCCTAAAAGGCAACACAGCACAGATGTGGAGTATCTGAAGCCTTCGAGTGACCAAGGCTGTCGCTGTGGTTCCGGCGGGTTGCTGAGATGCCATGGAGAGATTTCCACTCCGGCGCCAAGGGAAGGACGGGGGCTGCTCTCGCGCTGCCCCCTGGAGCTGCTGGAGGTCTGACTTTACCCTTGCTCTTTGCTGGCTAGCAGCTTATTAAGTTATATTTATTATTAATAACATCCCCCGAGTGCTGTGCTAAGCGTGCTGAATGGGAGGGAGGGGCCATCCCGCCTCCCTGGGTGACCTTGGGTTCCCGACCTCTGTTCAGTCCATTCACAGGGGGTGACCACAAGCCCCTAAGCGAGGCCCTGACGCCGCTGGTGACACCGGGAAGACGTATTTCCCACGCGAGCGTCGGATGCTGCGTGATAATGGGTGTCTTCTGTGTGGGCATGTCCTGCAGCTCGGGGTGCCAGCCTGGAGCACAGAGAACATTGCCCCTGGTTAAGGTTAAACTGCAGCCCCCCACCCCGCCCCAGCTTCCTGAGACGGGTCTGTAGTACAGTCGGTGGGATTGGGCGGGTGTGAGTGGGACAGACTGCACTCACTGTCTTTAAAGAACAGTCTCTGGTTGCCCAAGGCAGATAGGAGACTTAAAGCTGAATCTTGGTGATTCTCCCCCGAGAATCAGCTGCTTAAAGGAAGAATTATTGGACCCATACTCCTCGGGCTAAGCCAGTGTTCAGTCAGCATCTGCCTTCCATCTCCATGTTAGGAGATCCGCGTGAATGGGAACGGTTCAGCTTCCTAAAGGCCCTGTATCCTGACTCTTCACGATCCTATCCACAGTGAACAAATTCATCTGTGTGAACTTAAAGTGCTTTTCCATTTGGGTAACAACAGTGCTTTGAAAAGGGAGCTGCGTTAAGGGTGATTGTACTTCAGTTTTAGGTGTGTTCCTTCAAAAAACACAGTTTTTCTTAATGTTGGCAAAACTCTTGTCTTGTGAGTCAGGTCTCCTGCTGGGGACAGGCACTGGAGACACCACCATGTCGTTCAGAAATACAGAATACAGCAGAGCTGTGATGCATCAGGTAACCAAAAAATGTTCTGAAGGTTAAAAATACAGCACCTTCCAGTGCCTGAAGGGGCTGTAAGGAAGCTGGGGGGGACTTTTTACAAGGGCCTGTCGTGACAGGACAAGGGGTAATGGGTTTAAATTGAAAGTGGGGAGGTTTAGATGAGATACCAGGAAGAAGTTCTTCCCACAGAGGGTGGGGAGCACTGGGACAGGTTGCCCAGAGAAGCTGTGGATGCCCCATCCCTGGAAGTG